CTATATGTATGGATCATATCCTTTCATCTAACAGAGTATTCAGCCCTAGCCTTATATATTAATTCATTTTTAAAAAAGAAAAGCTCATCTTGAAGAAGTAGTGGGCGTGGTGTCAGCATCTCAGATTCAAGTTTTTGGAGCAGATTTATTTCCAAGTAACTCTCTGTGCTATATTGTTCAGACTTAAATGGATGATCCATCAAGTGTGCACCATTTTCAGCCATTATTTCCAGAAGAATCACCAGGTTGATGTTTTTGTAGCAGGTTGAAGTTTTTTTGAGCAGGTTAAAGTTTTTGGAATAGGTCTCATTCCCAGGTAACTGGAAGCCCTATCTTGACTAAACTTGCATGGATAATACATCTAAGGATGCACACTTCTAGCAGGCTTGCTTCATGTGCTGGATCAGACCTACATTTTCCAGAAGATTGACCAAATTGAAGTTTTGAGCAGGTCCATTCCAAAGTAATTATATATCTTACCCAGACCAAATTTGCATGATTGTTCATCTACAGGTGCACACTACCAGAACATTCATTTCGTGTGAGACTTTGCCTTACTTCTAAATAATGTTTGTTGAGGTGAGCTTTGTAATTTTTGATTACAGTGTACCTATATTTATGTAATTATTTACCTAGGAGTTTTGTTTTTCACAGTGATTTTGGGTAATGCGTATATGTCCCTGTTCTTTGCTGTTGGTCAAGCATCACAAGCTCTGGACCAGAGCATGAAGGCGTATGCACAAGCAGTGAGTATTATGATTTTGAAATTTCCTTAATTTATAAAGATATTTTTAACTTAAGTTCATAAAGTTACAAGTAGTTGATTCTGAATCAGAGTGACTTTCACCACTAGAACATTGGTATTATTTATTTTACAGGAGAAGGATCCAGTGGCACGAGACAATCCTGACCTACATTTTAACAGAGCAGTTGTGGGTTCATATAATATATTTAATTTGCTAGGAATACATGGTACTGTACAGCAGGTTAAAATCGCGGTCGGAAAAGATCGCGATTTGTTCAACTTGCAGCAAATCGCGGTCGTTTGAATTCGCGGAAAGGAAAAATTATACAAAAACTTTTTCAGCACTGCAAATATTTTCCTTGCGTATATTGTGTCTATTCTGAACCCGATTAAATAGAACGAAACACCGTACTGATCCTGATTGGATTAGAAGACAAAATTCGTACGATTTACAATGTTATGCATTCAGATAAATTCTCTTCTTTCTTTCTCGTGTTTTCTTTCTTTCTTTTTATTGAATATTTTTGAAATACTTAGTCTATATACTCGAGTGATTTATTCAAGTGATTTCAAGTCGTATCCAAAACATTCATTTAAAAAAAAAAGAAGCCCTTTGGCAGGTGTTCGTTCATAGGTACGTTTTAAGTAGAGTACAGAGTAGTATTTACTGCAGTATGTTTAAATCCCTCTGAATCTAAATCAGTTGTCAGTACTGATAGTCAAAATGTTGAACTGTTAATTAAATTTAATTAATGTGTAACAGTGTTGTCTTTACTATGTGCCTTGATTAAAGATAATAAGATGAGTGATATGCACGGGTGAAATCTAACAATACATGTTTTATAGATAATTACATCGCACCTCTACTGGGTGGGAGAATTAATTGTTAGTTATAGATGTTTATTTATCAATTAAGTTTTAAAAAAATCAACAACTATGTGTAAGTAATTAATCCGTACACCCGCATAATTAGGAAGACCGTCTACATCTCCTCTATATATCAATTACTGCTTTTAAGGTTTGCAAGGAACACAAATAGAGTTAACGAATCTAATCACAGATATCGGTAATATTTTAATTTATCTTTATCAATTTTTGAAGAATTATTCACTCTATGTTGAATTCGCGGAATTTTTATTACCGCGAATATAGCGAATATTAACTCCATGAGTTAATTTCCTGCTGTACAGTATATCATAATATGTAACCAGTTCATTAAAATTTTGGTTGAATTAAAGTTGTCAGAGATGGCATATATCTGACCTTTTGTAAGGAAAGTTTTACTATGTGCATGAATGCTTTGTAGTGCTCATTTTATCAATATGATATCATACTTGAATTGTTGTGATGTGTTCTGTTGCAGGCCTACAAATATGAGGAAAATTACACCGCTGCCTTGTCTGGGTTTTCCAGAGCTTCTCAGTTGGATCCCAGCTGGCCTGACCCCCAGACTCATGAATCACACCTTTTGACTTTCCTTTCCAACGTCACAGAACTGACACAATCCAAGGTAAAGTTCTGTCCAAATTACCTTTAGAGAAGATTTTTAAAAAATTCCAACAAGTGACTGAACTGATTTTGCATAAGGTGCATGGATGATTTATTTGTAATGAGTTGGAATTATTGCCCTTGAAATGCCTTTTTTTTCATCCAAGTATATTACATGAATTGATTTAACAACATGTTTTCTTATATTTTGAAGAATTGATATGAGATGTATTTTAACTATAACATTTTAGAATAGAAATTAGATAATGAAATAAGAAGCATCCATCAGATGATTACTGTTGCAATGTGTAATGCTTACTGTCAAAGGACTGGAAATCTTATCAAGTAAATTAATATTCATGTTTTGTGTAAAAGTTTTCTGTCATATGTCATATCCTGAGAAGTCTTATACAGTAAAACTTGTTGAATCCGGATGTTGTGCATTCCGGCATGTTGTTCAGTCCAGCTTAATATTTTAGTCCCTTGAATTTTCTTTATAATTTATGTTCAATAAATGTTGTTCAATCCGGATCTTGCCTATTCTGTAAACCGGCCGCTATTTAAAGAACAAACTGCTCATATTTAGTACAAATTATCTCCTCTAATCCGGCCAATTATTTTTACCTGTGCCAGCTGGTCATTAGAGAAGTATCGCGTGGGGTAATTATTGTCCCGTTAATGATCTATCCTGTATCGAAAGTTTAGATTTTAACAAACGTGATTTAAAAAAAATCATTTATGGCTCAAGTAAGGCGAGGAAACTCGAAAAGAACGAGTGATAGTGATGTTTGCGTTTAGCATGTCTGTAAAAATCATTGTAGACTTATTCATGACTCTTTCGTTTTGCATGCACGATGTGGAATTCGAATTACTTCCCTTTGTGTCACTAGTTTACAACGACCATAACGACAGAAAGATTTTGGTCAAATATTCATTATAACATTTGAAATTAACAAATACAGTGTCTAATTATTCAAACATATTAATTTTAAAAGAAAGAAATTAATTAGGAATCTGTCCCTAAAAAAATAATATTTACAGCTACGATGAGGTTTTGGAGTGTGTTTAAAACATTTAACGATTTTCAAATTTAATAAATGACCAAGAGATATTATATTTCGTTACTGAATAAAAAACTTAAACAGAAATGAAAATTCTGAAGAGCAAATGGAGTTCAACACAAACAAAATAGACGATTTTTGCAAGTGAATATATATAATTTTAGGGAAAAATTAAGCCAAAAAAGTTGCAGTCCATGATAGAGAGCATTAAACCCTCCGACCTTGGACCTTATGGAGGAGGAACATACACTAGTCCTCTCGGGAAATCAGTGGATTTAGTGAAGTGTAAATTCAGTGACCTAAAGCCAGAAGTCAACCAAAACAAAGTCATTCTGGGCAAGGTGGTTTGTACCATAACCACCAGTCAACCGGTGCCATTGTAAGAAACCATAAAATTCAATAATTATCAGATACTAAGTACTTTACATCACTTTTTATTCCTGAGAATTTTATTTTCACATAATTATGCAAGACAGTCTGTTCACGAAAATTTCTTTCTTGTATATAGTTTTATAAGCATAGGACCAATTCTTACAAGACATATTAGTAAAAGACAGTTGCTAACATTTTATTTTCACAGAAACAAAACTATTAAAGCATTGTTATCATTTTTTTTTTTTTGGGGGGGGGGGGGTTATTCATATTTCTGTGAATAGAAGAATCTTTAAGGGAATTATGGTTACAAAAGCTAGATATCAGTAAACTTGCATGCAGTCAAATAACAATATCTGCAATATTGTTAAAGATTTTGTTTGTCTGATTATTTCAGCTCCTTTTGTATGGTGGATGAAGAAGAGACTTGCCTCCCAGTCACAGTGTACAACATGGCCCAGGGATGTGGTGTTAAAATTGGTGACAGTGTGGCTATCCCTGAACCCTACCTTCAAGATGTCAAGGTCAACCACAAAAATCAGGTCAGTTAAATGTGAAAAAGGTCAACCTCTTACTGTATAACTTTAGAATACTGTATATGTGTTATTTGTACAGTTAATGATTATTTTTATTTGGCAATTTCATGGAGGTACTTTGTTCATTCAAAGACAAGTAAGCCTCAATGAATATATTTGTATTATACGTAAGGAAGTAATTATTTCTCTTTCAGAAGTTTGAATTCAGCAGCATTCGTGTTAACTCACCATTGGTGCTAGTTGTAAATGGGAAAAAGTTTGGAGTTGACAAGCAAGCGCCATCTGTATTAGCAGTACATACCATGTGTGAATGATATAGGCAGACCTCCATCCATCTGTGTGTGTGTGTGTGTGTGTGAATGAGAAATTGCTTTTACCAGTTCATTTGACAGTTCGATCTGACTAGCATTATGTAATTAACAATTACATAGATAATGTCATGTTCATTCCCAAAAAGCATGCATACTTGTTGATATTTATGAAAGTTAGCCTTTGCTTGGTATTAGTGTCATATCATAAGACTGAATTTTCATCATTAAAGGATGTTTTACTAAAGTACCATTTGCATGTTGTTATTCAAACTAGCTCCTTTCTCTTACATTAATTTCACTAACATAATAAAATATACCCTGGTAATTTATATTTATCCCAAAAGGGAAATGATTTTGGTTATAGCATAATAAAAAGTTTTTTAAAATTTTTTAAGTTTTCAGAATTTAAATATAGCCTACACACAGACTTGATTTAAACAATGGGCTTTATAAAACACAATGTGGTGTAAGAGGATGTTTATTTGAAGTGGGGCTATGCAGAATTGAACAAAAAATGAAAAAGTACTGATCCTGAAATACCTCAAGCAGACCAAAACATAATAATAACATAAATTTGTGGAAGATTGGTTTGTAGCTACAGTGGATTTATTAAAATTTTTAACATCGGGATCGACATCCTAATATTCTACTTTCATTTTCGCCACGTGCTTGCAGTTTAGAAGTTGTTACTCTTAACATGAATATTATAAATCAATAGAACTTATATGGCCGGTAGATATATTATTTGATGTACAAGAACATGTGGTTTAACCTGGATTTCAGTGTCAGTGTTACGAGCTTTGACATTTTGACATGGAATATATTTTTCCGGAAACTGGGAAGGATCCAAGATTCGTGCATTTGCTCCAACAGCTACATAAAGCATTTTCAGTCGTGAAATCAGGTCTAAGTATCTGGGAAGAAGCTATAGCAAAGTCTCAGCCACATTTGAAAAGTGTACAGAACTTGTCAGAGCAACATCATTGCTGTGTACAGGCTCAGGGGTTAGGAGAGATAGTGCAAAGGTTTCCTGACGTCAGGGAAAAACTTCTGTACAAAATCAACAAGGAAATCGACAACAATATGGCTAATCTTTACAAAGCTGTGTATGTTCATTATTGTGTACATAAGCATGATATTACATATAATTCAGTTGACATTGCACAAATATATTAAATATTTTACATAATTAGAGTTTTTTCAAATCTATGTTATAGAATTTATTGACATTTTCATAATACAAAAATTTAATTTACTTTTATAGTGATGTTTGTAAAGAAGTATGTGACAAAGTTTCAAAGCAGTGTACAAGATGCCAGGTAGTCTACAACAAAACCAACGAAGACCTTAACATGCTAACCCGAAGGTCACCCACTTGCCCATCTGCTGTAGAAATGCTTGAATGGTTGCAAGATAGTGAATACTTAATGATGAATCAGTATCCTTTTCAGACTATTGATCAAGGTGATTTCTTGTTTTACTAGCACTCATGTACTTGGTATTGAAACAGTAAAAAGCTAAAATAAAAGCAAACAAGATATCTCTTAATGAATATTTTTTGCTTTATGGAAAAGGAAATTAAATCATGGGAGTGATTTGGCATCTGGTTGCCATCATTTTTTAGCTCACCTCCATGAAGTTAAGATGAGTTTATGCTATACCTCAGTATTGGCATCGGCATCCCGGTTAAATTTTTAGTAGCAAGTCCATTAACTATGCGCTTTACCTGGACCAAACTTGGATGGACGATGCATCTAGAGATGCATACTAATAGACTTGCTTCGAATGTTTTTGGAGCAAGTCCACTCCCAAACATAAGCCCTGTGGTGACCAAATTTGCATGGATTATGCATCAAGGGATGCACACAGATGGCTTGCTTCATGCTGGATTTGCTCAGATTTTCAGGATGAGTGACCAGGTTAAAGTTTTTGGGGCAAGTACATTTCCAAGAAGCAATCAACCTTTTGGTGAAGGATCTTGCATGGATGATACATCTAGGGATGCACACTATCAGGCTTGCTTCAGATGCTGGATATGACCTACATTTTTGGATGATTGAATAGTTAAAAGTTTTTGGAGCATTCCATTTCAAATTATTAAGTATAAGTCCTACCCAAAAGCAAACTTGAATGCACATTACCAGACTTTCATTTAGTGTGAGAGTATGCCTTACTTCAGTTTAATATTCATCGAGGTGAGCTTCAAAATCTTTTATGACCTTTGTTTTTGAAATGGGGAGGGGAAACATAGATTACATGAGACAAAGAAGATAGTGGATATTTGTTACATTTAACTTTTCTTTGACACTGCCAGATACTTGATCAGGAAACATTTGTTAGACAAGTTTTCTCTGTCAGATAGAGATCAGGAATCAGTCCTGTACAAACAGTGGTCCACAGAGGATACAACTCTGCTGCAGACTATTAAGGGTAAGGGGAGAAAACTCTTGTTTTAGATTTATCTTATTCACTTTCTGTATATAATAATTAATGTATTAATGCACATTATCTTCAAAACTAGTGCATCAGCTATTCTTATGAAATGTTCAGCTCTAGAGTACTTCATTTTTTTTCCAGGGCATCTCCAGTATTTGGAATTCTTTTTAGAAATGAAGATCTAAGTACAGAGAATTCACTACATCAGAAATCCTAGGCTATGGTGTGTGTTTGGAAACTATGAGCAAGACTGAAAGAGGGCCAAGAAAATTTTTTTTTAAACATCTAACACAATATTGTGATGATAGTTTGCAGAAAGAAATTTAATTAAGTTAAATATATATAAACCCATTAGCAGGAGGAAAATATGTTTTCATAGAAAGGATTTTTAATTAAATTTTTGCCACATGTCATAAAATATTGGAAACTGAGCAAACCAGAATAAATAAAGGAATACTAGTAATTCAAAAAAGGATATGATTCTGACCTTGTGCTTATGAAAGTTTTGTTTTGGTTTAACTGAATCTTTCTGATGCTGTTGTCCTTTAACTCAAGGTCATAAAGGAGGAGACATTATTCAAGGGATTAAAAGGTGTGTGAAAGTGCACAAAAGTGAAAAATTATCATGTGAATCTTCCGATCATTAAAAGTTTGAAGATGTGAAGTGTACCAAAATCAAGGAAGGTGAATTATCGATGGAGTTTAACTTGTTTTCCAATAAATTTTCATTTGCACTTTTTTCATGTGAATCATTTGGATGATCATTTCAAATATGAATAGAGAACAGCAGTTGGATACCTATCCAGCTATTCAATTGCAGTTGAATAGTTAACTATTCAACAACTAGCGAATGAATAGTCAAGCTATAAATGAAGTAATCACAATGGGTCACTTAAATTTTTTTTAATGTCCTGATGATAACTCTGAATGCATTCAAAAGTTGAAAATGATATTGCAAGGTCATTCCTCGGTGATTGAGATAACTGGTGGATAAGGTTGCTAAATTGAGTCTGGGTTGTAATTCTGGAACTTTGTCTGGAATTCATTCGAACTTTTGAGTATATTGTTACTGATGACCTAAAGGTAGGTCATGTTCTCAAGGTCATATCTCAAAGGTCAAGGTCACTGACAATGAGATTGCAAAATTGTTTTTGTTGACCGAGATACGAGTCCTTGTCATTACTTCAGATCATATCTCAAAGGTCAAGGTCATTAGGCAAAAAGATGTTGAAATTATGATTCAGTTCTCAAGATATATAATTTGCAAATGCCGATTAATTTCATCGAGGTCTAATTATAAAATATCAAGCTTCTAAAGCCTGGTTTAATAATTCTTATTTTCATAATTTTCCATATACATGTGCTCTACTTTTTGTCTGTATTAATATTTGCTTTTCATTTATTTATAATATTTTTTCATCTTTATTGATATAATAGTAGGAATACACAAAAGACCATAGATGTATTCAATTTATTGAAAAATTATTAAATTTTTTAATTTATTAATCCTCCCAAATATTTGTCAATCTTAGGCCGATGGACAGGTGTTAAGGTTGAACATTGCTTTTCTCTGCAAAGCCAATACTTCGTAATGCAAAATAAAACTAAATTAATTGGTTTCATATTAACACTGCATCAGGCATTGATATAAGCTCATTTGTCAGATATCAAAGCAGAAATTCAATATTCAAAGATTTTATTACCATGTATATGTAACCATTTACATGCAAATATAAAGAGTACAGTAAAAGTTTGTACACATAGTTAAATAACTTAATAATAAAAATACATTTTAGAAAACAGCAGAGTTGTACTGTGTGATATTTTCTTTACACTGATCAAAGTATATATAGATATATGTGTATACTGACTATGGCTTCCTGTCTCACATTATTCAATTTATATTTAAAAGCATGTTTATTCTCATTTATTAAAAAAATTAGCTTACTTGTACAATATTCTTTATGCATCAACAGTGTATCAATTCTCTGTATAAAGTGTAATTTGTGTGTGTTTTTTGTTCTTTATCACAGATGGGCAAAAATTGCTGAATATAATTCAATTACAAAACAAGCAAAATAAAACTGAACTAAACAAAAACATAAAACACTAACTAAAGTCAAAGATTCATACAAAACAAATGCATGTTTGCCATCAAAACTACCAAAAATGCACAAAATTGAAAAAATCTCAACATTTAACTATTAGAGCTATAACAGAAGCAGTTGAAAAAAGTGCATTCTGCATATTCTAAGTTTGATTTTTAGTACAATATCATTAACATAAGGCCCAAGGGCCACAACACTCACCTGAGAAACTATGGCCCTGCTTTTCCTAAGCAGATATTTTCCCCTTTATATTTGTATGTAAAACTGTGATCTCTGATTGTGGCCCACTGTACCCGCAGGGATTATGATTTGAACTTGAATCTACACTAAGTATGCTTCCATATAAATAAGACTAATCATGGCTTTGTTTTTTTTTTCAAAGATTTTTTCCATATAGTCTTATGTAAAACTTTAATTGCCCATTCTGGCACCATCCTACCTCTGGGGGTCATTATTTGGACAAACATGAATCTACACCATTAAATGAAACTTTCATGGAAGTTTCATCTTTTCGACCAAGTGATTCTTGAGAAGATTTTTGAAAGATGCCATTTAATTTTCACTAATTCTTAATTATCTCCCCTTGAAAGAGGGTGTGCCCTCATTTGAACAAACTTGAATTCCATTCAGCCAAGGATGCTCTGTACCTAATTTGATTGAAAATGGCCCAGTTGTTCTAGAGAAGAAGATGAAAGTTAACAACCATGACAATGACAGACAATGGAAAATTTCTGGTCAGAAAAGCTCACTTGAGCCTTTGGCTCAGGTGAGCTAAGAATATTAATCATTTAGTAATGATTACATCGTACATGTATAATACATACACAGAGGACATGCAGGATTGAAATCAGCTATTTCCCTGTATTTTAATGAACCTCAGTTTCCCATGGTATTTCTTTCCATTTATGGGTACTTTCCATTTTCAGTACACTTCATTCAAATATTACTGAAGTATGCAGAGTAAAAAAGGGTTATAATTAATTACTTACAACATTATTTATGATCATAATTACCCTACCCTGTCAATTCTTTGCTGGCAGGTACCATTACAAAGATGTATGTGAACTGGATTAAATCGCATTAAATATTTTTGATTGAGTAAAGATTATTACATGTTTTGTTTCTACAATACTGATTCCTATATGGCTTTCAAATCTTTGATGAAAAATATACAGTATTTGATAAAAGTGTTTGTGATAAAATTCAAAGGCTGCAGTTTCACAAATAAAAATGCTCTGCAAGTAAAATAATATGAAAAATTTCTGGAGAAAATTATGATACCAAAAATTAAGTTTTTGTAGCTTTGTACAAATAACAACACTTATCTTTTTATTGAACATTAGTATCGTTATCATCATATCATGTATCTTCAAAATACAGTTTTAGTAAAATGCAAAACTTTAAATCAACATACCAGTAAATACATCAGTCATATGTACAAGTGGTTGCTTGCACTAAAAAACTAGCTCAAGCCAGACCAATGTTAATACTGATAAACAATCAATAAAATGATAAACTTCATATTCACTATACAGGATGCTGCTTATTTCTTATTCAATTTATTCGCAAAAAACTGTTGGTAAAATAACAGTTCGTATGGTGTGAATGAAGTCATCATAATAAACAGAAATAAATTAGAATGTGGGATCTTCACTATGTTTATCTAAAATTTAATCCATCTCAACAATTTTTAAATCAAGGTTTCTTATGGTTCAATTAATTACAGAAATTGACATAAATTAAAAATTCAATTTCTAGCAAGTAAATGGTATCAGTAATCATCTTCTGAGTTGTGCAGTTCGTGATGTGTCCCTCTCCGATTGGTCAGTTGCAGACCTTCCTGGTAAGCTCGCTGTAGCTTGAGTAATGTGTGTGCCATACGATCTGCATCTTGCCCACCACCAAACTGTTGTCGTAATCTGCGAAGCTCATTTTTCTCATGATCTTCCTCCTGAACTTTCTGCTTGCGGAGTTCAGCTCTTCGTTTTCTTTCTTGATCCTGAATATGTTTTTTTTTCTACATTGTATTACTGCATTCAATCAGTTAAACAAAGAAGATGGGTGAACAAGGCGGGCGAAGTGCCTATAGTGCGACAGACATGAAGTGAAAAATAAAATCCCAATTTTATAAAAATTTTCTTTGATATTTCATCTAACATTAAAGTATATTTTATGCTAAATCTCTACAATTTACAAAAATCTCACAAAGACTGAAATTATTTGCCTACGAAATAGCATACACACACTTAAGAGGACAAAAAGGATCATTTTCTCACACTTTAACAAAATTTTTCGATATGAGTGGGTCTTCGCTCCATTTTTTTGAAAGTTGATCCTAAAAGTTTGCATAAAAATATACATTGTTTGGTTTACAAAAACATGGAGCAAAGACCCATTATACCTTAAAAGTACACTTTTATGACAAAGCATTCGCATCTTTCCGAGAAATACTTGAAGTCCATTAAGTCAAGGGTCATATCACAAACATGATTTAAATGCCACTATTCGTCAGGAGCTGCGTGGCGTAGTGGTTAGCGTGTTAGTCTCAATACAATATGATACTCCGGATTTTTATTGTTAGGGGTTCGAATCCCACGAATACCATTTTATTATTTTAATAAAAGAATAATTTTTTCCGAGATTTCTTTTCTCAGAAAAGTTTTGTTGATCATAATTTAATAAATTTGAATAATGAGAACTTTATTTTAAAGACTTAATTCATAAATTGAATATGATTTTATTAATATCGGAAGCTATAGGCATTCGGCACGCCTTGTTCACCCATCTTCTTTTGAAACTACATACAAAACTTTGCCCAGATATAATTTACAAGAGGCCCAAGAGCCATGACATTCAGTTGGGTACCCATATGCATAATGGAGACAAACTGCATGAATTATTTAATTTTAGCTCCCCCCCCTTTATTTTAACAATTTGATGTTACATTGAAATGCTTGCAATATTACTAGAAATTAATATTTTTTTCTCATCAATTTCCATGTAAAACTTTGGACTCCAGTCACCACTAAATTTGCTTACTTAAACTACAAGGGCCTAATTATGAAGAGAATGTTTTTGATTTTGAAATTTTCTACCTCTGTTAACCCAGGCCAGAGAAGACATGTGCAGCATTTGGATGATCAAAATATCACTTTTGTGGCACAAAGGATATGCCATTAAAAATGTAGAAATAGTTTACTATACACACATGAAAAATTTCTAATAAAGTGGTCAGACATGCAGTAAAATATGCAATAATACAAGCTGGCTTAAATACCAGTTTTTCATAATTTTGTAATACAGACCTTTATGGCAATATCATTTGGATCATTAATGTTGATGATGGGTTCCGTCTTGGAATTGTGTAAGGAAGTTTCACTGAGCATGGAGGGAGTGGGAGATACCCCGGCTTTGGCATAAATCTCAGCTAGTCTGTATCAAATAGATCAAACAATATCTCAACAATTATCTCAGATCAAACAATATCTCAGCTTGTCTGTATCAAATAGATCATGCATTATCTCAGTCTGTATCAAATAGATCATGCATTATCTCAGCTAGTCTGTATCAAATACATCAAACAATATCTCAACAATTATCTCAGCTAGTCTGTATCAAGTAGATCAAACATTATCTCAGCAATTATCTCAGTTTGTCTGTATCAAATAGGTAAAACAATATCTCAGTCTGTATCAAATGAGGAAACCCCTCAAGAATATATAGAGATCCTACAAATATTGTCTCTTTGATTGTACCATAGGACTGGCGGTAAATTTAGATTTTGCTTTGATGTTGCTGTGGTGTATTTGCCAGAAGAATCACAGTTTTTTTAAGTCACGCCCACCTTTTGGCATCAAGCCATACTGTGACAAGACCTTGACTGATGAATGAATGATGTTAATTTCCAGACCTTGGCAATGGCTGATGAATCAATGAAGTCAACATTTTTAATTTAAAAAATACTAACATTAACTTGCCAAAATTCGCCTCGTAATCTTTTTCCGTATTTTTTCTATGCGTTTATTTAGTAAATGATACGTTCTATCTCGAATTCTCGTCTTTCTATTTTCTTTCTCCAAGTACATGTAGCAATTTAACATCAGAAGTCCCTGCTTTTTTTTTTTACTTCATAAAGCATTTCAAACTTTCATTAAAATGTCAGAAATTATTTCATAGTGTCTATCAGGGACCTATATACTAGACAGTATATATGTCCCTGTTTCTATACGTCGATTGCCAGATATAAAAATTTCAACGGCGATGTTTTCCATTGACCCCCCCCCCCCTTTAAAAATAACGATCTCGAAAGATGAATTTTCTTTTAGAGTTGACGGCGTCAGTATAATACATGTTAAGTTTACAATCCTTACCCCTGTACCTGACCAAAAAATCATGTCTTCTGTGTCTTCAACATTTCGAAAGTACAACATCATGACATGCACCCATTCCGAATTTTTATCAGTGATTTGAAGCAGCACCGTAGCAAAATATGATACTAGCAGATGGAGACGGCTATTTATACTACAGACTCCGGACCGTGGCTTGACACCATGTAGTAGGTGGTACTAATTATCAACTTGCTTTTCTCTCATTGGTCCTCTGGTACAAGTAACTTACACAATAGACATTAATTGGCTATCGGTAAATACACTCACAGTTTTTATTCACTCGGGGCTCCGCCCCTCGTGAATGAAAAACTGTGAGTGTATTTACCGATAGCCAATTAATATCTATAGTGTAACTATAACTTAGAATAATTAAATCTTTGTCAAAGGACATAAAACAAAGAAAAAAAGTCAAATAACTCACTTCTCATTCCTTTCCTTCCTACGTTTTTTGACCTCGTCCCAGCTGGGGAACATGTAGTTATTTTTTATTGGTGGAGTTTTGCTGGGAGGTTTCAGGGGTTTGACCTCTGTATACTTAACCATAGCACCATGACCAGGGGTACAGTGGAAGTACCGCTTACCCTTATATAAACCATTGTGCACAGAATTCACTGAAAGAGAGGTAAAAATTTATCTGAATATATGAAAATTTGAATGCAAAAGCCACTTTAAGGCATCTAAAACCTATTATTTTATACCAAAAATTGTTAATTCAGATTCTTTTTTAAAAAAATGTGAATGTGATTTTTAATCTATCTTCATTTAAGGATATTCGATCCTCAGCTAGGAACAATAACTCTTAAAACTATCATTTAATTTAAAAAATCTCAAAATGAAGCTTGAAATTGAAATATTTTCTTGCAACAGTTTTCATTTTTATGTATCTCAGTATGATTCAAGGTTCTTTGAAGTCTCAGAAATGGTATTGCAAAAAGTTGACATTTGTATGTCTCGTATGAGGAGAGTAGCGTATCAGAAACCCTTGGCTAGCGAAGATGATTTAGTGCTTTTATTCACATTTACTCAAAATATATTTAAAATTTTATGATTTTCCCTATATAATATGATTAACTTTAATGATGAACTTTTAGAAATACTTTGGGCAAATTAATACACATTACTTAAGAAATCATGCAGAGACATTTTTGTGAGCATTTTCAATTACATGTACTGAAAAGCTGATTTTCAGAACCTGCATGAGGATCGAACTACCTTAATGAATTGTGCCAATGTGGTGATAGATAATCATCTAATTTAAGTGAGAAGCTGAAATTATGTGTTGAATCAGGTTCTCAGTTCACGCTGGTTCTCTTCACCATTATTTATTTATTTTTCTTATTTTGAATATATATATATATATATATATATATATATATATATATATATATATATATATATATTTAATAACAACATACCATTTTCATCCAACTTTACTCCCACATACAGGTTTGGGGCAATGGCATTATCATCAATAACCCCAACAAACTTTACAGTACCTGCAAAATCAAGAAGAAGTTTTCAAAGAATGAGTGGCCTTAATGCCATAATTTGGGTCTTTTATGCATTTTCTCTACCAAGCTGTAAATGAAGTGAAGCCAAAATATTTAACATTAGCAATGGCGAGTTCAACATAAACATAATTATAATAGGCAGAGCATTTGAACAAAAGCAATGTCTTGGTGTCATGAAGCAAAACTGAAGTAAATAATGATACATTAGTGTCACTATCCGCAATTTCACAAGATACCCAGAATGGTTTTTAGGTCACCTATTTAATATTAATAGGTGGCAGGGCTATCGATCATCATCATTTCAGCATATATCTCTCACTTTCTCTCTAGAAATTTGAAAATGTGTATGGTATCAGTTTTTAACATTTAACTGAGATGTCAATATTTCTGTAGTTAATATTGTGAGAACACAAAAAAATTATAACAGAGTACCGGGTAATCAAAACAGATTTGCTTAATTTGGTTTTCCTTTGAAGGATTGTTTTAAATCCATATATGTATCGAGAATTCACTGTGAGTTAAGATATTGGTGATATACGGAAAGAAATAAATATTTTATAAAACTTCAACTACACTTAATTTGAGGACTCTTAAGTCCACTCATTCTGTAATAATGTAGTCGACGTTGAAATGAAATGAAATGTTGAAAAGCACAGATAACACCTTGCTACATACATTTAGTAATGGTGTTATTAAAGTCCACTAGCTATTACTTTTGCCTATGGTACATTGTAGCTAATTATAAAGTCATTTTTTCTCTTTACAGGACTTTTTAGGGGTCATAGGGACCTGTATTCTGCCCCATATCCAATGGTAAAAAGTGTGTGTTTCCCAATTTCATAAAAAAAATTCCCAAAGGGCAATTGAAATAAATAAATTTGGTTAAAAAAACGTCCGGACTCAGTAACATGTATATATCAGGAAAGTGTTAAAAAAATCTAAAAGGCATGCTCCAAAAACTGATTGACTGAATGTAAAATAAGTCAATAAATACCTTGCAAATCAAAAAAAAATTATTTAGAAAAATGTTAAATATGATATTTTCTCCAATTTCAACCACATGTCACTATTTTTCCCAAATGGAAAGGCCCAGGCCCTTGATTTTAAGACCTAAAAAACCCCTGTTTTAGCAAAGCAGACTAATTTTCACAGAATTATTGATCTCATAGCTATATGATAATATTACACACACACACATATCTTAAAATTCATTTGACACTTTATGTTTTAACAAAAGTTTAAATTAAAGTACCAAGCCTTCATGTAACTTAAATTGGTCCAAATCTATAAATACAATCAAATACCAGGATAAGAAACTTCATTTGCTGCCTGGGTTGTAGTAGAGGAAGCAGAAGGTACAGATTTCAAATGTTTCATTAATTTCACCTACTGCTCCTGTTACAAAATAAGGCTACTTTATTACCTGCTTGAGGCTTGGCATGTCAATCAATTCATGTTTAAATTGGAATACTTTTAAACTCTTAATCTATAAATCAAACAAGTTAGATTGGAAATCAGTAACTTTTTAAATGCTTGATAAGGTGTCCCTAAGAAGCAGAAATAGGAGTGCACAAAACATGTTCTGTATAGATACATTCCTCATGTTACTAGTATATACCGTACACACTTAATATGGTACAATCAGCAACTTTATACATGTACTACTGATGGAGCTACTGTTGAACCACGGTGATTCAATGTTTAAAAAATCATCAAATGCTACAAACAAACAACTTAAAACATCAAGAGACATAAAAAAAAGTAAATAATAAGATTACTCTTGAAATTACACCACCATTCAGACCAATACTCAAATTGGTTTAATTGTACATATAACTATATCATTTTATTTTATACTAAGATATGCAATCAATAAAAGCTTGAGGATATACAAAGTTGCCTTGAAAAAATTTTACTCTCTCAAGTTAAGTTCATGTTTATAATTACAGATGTGTCTATAGGACTCTTTCCAGCCCTTAGGAAGCAATTTCAGTTGGGGGGGGGGGGGGGGGCACACCAAACATTTTCAGTTGGGGGGGGGGGCACTACCAAAAATTCCTTGACATTGAAGCAAAAAAAAAGGTCATCAGACATTATTATTGAGGGAGCACAAGCATATAGTAGCTATGTTTTCTATAGTATTCTATATATCGGCAAAAATTTTTTGGGGGGCGGGGGCAAAATTATTGGGAGGGGGCATGCCAACCTACATTCATGAAAATCATACACACTAATTTGACTGTACTAGAATCAAAACCAAAAAAATAATTTTTTAGGATAAAACTATGTTACACTTTTTAAAAACATCTACAAAAATATAAGATTGATCAACAAACAAGGCTACAATAAAAATAGCAGTGCTTTCCTACAGATTTCCTACTTGTTACACCTGTACACACTTACCCGGATTTTTTTTACAGACCTCTGATTCAGCGTAGATTTTATAGAGGTCAACAGCTAAAAATACAGTGGTACATTCATGACAATCGTCCTTAATATATTTTATTTGTGCTAGTAATTCAAATACCATGTAAAAAAGTAATTATAACAATTCTTAAAACACAAGTGAAGTCATATGTATAATAACACTTTACTTTGGTACAAGCCTTAATATGTGGGGTTACACAAATACATATAGTAAGCTTGATTAGATTGTGGATTATATTTTACACAGTACACAAAAAAGTGACTGTTATCGAACATGTTCATGTCTATAAAGCAATAATGTATTCACTTTACCAAAAATTAATTTTTTAAACAGTCAATGCACAACAGTGATGTTATTGATTTGTGGCATTTACAATGTACCTGCTGTAGCAAGATGTCCATGTACTAGAATGTCACATGAAGTCAATATTAAAAATAAATAAATTAAGAAAGGCAAAAGAATTTTGTTTTGAAATGCTCAGATATATACATGCTAAGTCAATGAAACAGCCTAAATCATCATGAATTTATTTACCTGGATATTTGCCATATACTTCCACCCTGTCTCCCACTTTAACGATGCTGGATTTAGAGGACACAGGTGCAGTGTTCTGTGCTCTGCTTAAAGAGGATTCACGAAGCAAGTCTGAGGCATCATTGAAATTGTCCTTCCAAAATTTCTTACAGGGACCACATGTACACATAAACGGATCTACATCAGACTAAAAAAGAAAGGGGTGTGTCCATTAAAACAAAAATAAGGGACAAAATAATTAATTTACAACAAATAAAAAATATGTCTAAATTTGAAGAATAACACACATGACAAATACATGAAGAAATGATCATATTCCTGTATTGTAAAAAAAAAATGTCATACTTACTAAGCGATACCTTGGAATAAGAGCCATTTAATTTAATTTAAAACAAAGAAAATGCCACATATAACATGTCCCAAATAAAATTAATAACTCCAAGTTTTTGTCAGTAAAGTGATAATTCATGTGAATACATCATTTACAATGTCCATCCTCAATGAAAGCTAAATTTTACGGAATTTAGTTTCTACTGGTTACTATGTTTGTAAAATTATTTCTTCCAAGAACAGAGATCCCCTTTATAACTGTAGTATGTTTCATCAAGTTACAAACAAGTAGCTTATTGTGACAAAAGTAGAGGAACCAAGTTTCAGCTTTATATCGTTTAAATCAACAAACAAAGCAGTTTACTGTTGAAAAATGAGGAATTATGTAGTTCAGATAAATCGACCATGACTAAACATCATGCAAAACAAAAGTGGTATTTAAATCAAAGACTGTTCGATCTCCATCACTTTGTGATCCCATGAATAAATAAAATCTTAAGAGAACCTGGAATAGGTAAAAAATATTTACCTTGTGATCTTGGATAGACATATTTACACAAAACTACATTAATACAGACGAGACACAATGGGGGAAAGTAAAAATGGATCACATAATTTTATCTCATTGCGTCCTGGTTGTTAGGCACCATAGCACCTGCTGCACTTCCGGTTATATCCCTTATAGCCCGTAAAAATAATGATGATAAAAATACTACAGACAGTTTTTTTTAACTTTGACCAGCTTTATTCTTTTTTTTCAGCCATAAAATTTATTGATTAAAAAAATCATGATTCGTAATACTCATTTAATGTTTGATTTCGTTAATTACCGGCAATCTTATGATCATTGATTTATGGGACTAGAATGGCTAGAAAAATATTGAACGCGAATGAGTTTTAGGAACTTCTACGGCACTGCTAAACGATCTCTACGCGGTAAAAGGCGAACAAGGTCTTTATTGTACTTTGATTATTTTAAAATATATTTTTAATGGTCATTTTTTTCTGACGGGGGACAGAAGGGTTTAGAAATACTGTACTGTAGTATCTTTTCATGACCCTGAGTCATAATGGCAATTTTATTATTGGAGGGTATTGTATGATGTATCATGTGATTGATCTAAGTTCCTGATAATTCTCCTAGTTGAGAATGTTATTTCAATAATTCTGTTGACCGATTACCCATAGAGAAATTGTCTGTTACTTATTCCCCATTTGATTTTAGACAGCAATCAAGTGATGATGACACTGAAGATGAAGATGGGACTTGTATGGATGATATGCCACTAATGTATAGTAATGAAGTAAGTTTCAAAATGGATGAGAGTGATTCTCTCGTCAACAGACGACGAAACAGAGGTTTTAATCAGTCCAGGATAGGATACTACATTAATGAAGGATGGGCTAGGTCATGTGGAAGGTAATATTTTACACTGAAAAATTCAACATTTAAAAAGTGGATATTGTTGTTTTTATTTCTTTCATAAAAGAGACCCTTGGAAACATCAACATTATAATGAATCAATTTTATGATCATTGTGTGTGGGTAGGTGTTGGGAGAAGCTGTGCAACAGGAGGAAGGAGTATCATGCAAGGACTGTACCTATAGGACTTCAAAGATCATCAGATGAAAAATATCCAAAGAATGTCATTCGCAATCAGAAATACAGCGTCATTACATTTATACCAAAGGTAGGTAGATACGTGTACTGTCATCACATTTATACCCAAATTAGGCAAGTAAACAGCTGTAGTGAACTGGGTTATATGGACTGTGGATATTGGCCTGGATAGCATAGTGATTAGAACACATAGCCATTGAAGCAGGTATTCCCAATCTCAATTGAGCCATAATTTTCTCCTTTCCTGTTACATTTTGATGTCATGTAACTATGATTTGATCCTGGTTTGATTCACAATCCCTGCAGTGAAGCCATAATTTTCTCCTTTCCTGTTACATTTGATGCTGTATACATATAATTCGAAAATGTAGTGGTTTGTGTTGTGTGGAGGGGGATGTCAGTCTGGATGGCTCAGTAGATAGAGCACCAGAATAGTAAAGTAATGCAGGGGCCTGGGGTTCAATTCCTGGGCCAGTCCATTGGATGATAATGTAAGGAGGGATGAAGGTAGTGCTCTGCATTATATGGACCTTGGACACAAGCTTGGATATCTTAATGGTTAGAGCACCTGAGTAGTAATGCAGGGATTCCCAGTCCAGCCATAATTTTCTAACTTTCCTATTACATAGCCTAGATTCCCTGTCCAGTCATATTACATAGCCTAGATTCCCAGTCCAGCCATAATTTTCTACTTTCCTATTACATAGCCTAATTATAATATACGGTATACATGTACATTCATAATACATGTACAAGTAGGCATGTATACCAGATCATTACATGTATACCAAGGTAAGGCTGTTATATAGCTTCAGTACATTAAACCAAAGGTAGGCAGGTACATACAACATTATTATTATACCAAAGGTAGGAGAATATGATTTTGTAATTTTCCTAAACTTTTATGATATGCTTTTGTTTGTTTTATTTAGAAAAAATTACAAATTACCCTGATAATTTTGTGCATGAAAATATATACCTGTACATGTACTTTACTATGCATGTAACAAATTTTCAAGACAATGTTTAAACTTACATAATGTACAAGATTTTTTTCTCCAGAATATATTCTGTAAGTGAATTATTTGTCATTTTCAGGTCTTATTTGAACAGTTCAAGTTCTTCTTAAATCTGTACTTTCTGGTGATGGCGTTGTCCCAGTTTATACCTGAGATAAGAATTGGCTACCTCTACACATACTGGGGGCCTCTTGTAAGTACCACACATACTCAACACATAATGGTGACCTTTGGTAAGTACCACACACACAATTAGTTACCTGTACACATACTGGGGACCACTTGTAAGTACCATGCATACAAGTGGCTACCTCTACACATACTGGGGACCTCTGGTAAGTATCAAACACACAGTGGCTATCTCTACACATACTGGGGACCTCTGGTAAGTAAAACACACACAGTGGCTACCTCTACACGTACTGGGGACCTCTAGTAAGTACCAAACACACACATGTGGTTACCTCTACATGTACTGGGGACCTTTGGTAAGTACCACACACACACAGTGGCTACCTCTACACATACTGGGTACCTGGTAAGTATCACACACACAGTGACTACCTCTACACATACTGGGTACCTGGTAAGTACCATACACATAGTTGCTACCTCTACACATACTGGGTACCTGGTAAGTACCATACACACAGTGGCTACCTCTACACATACTGGGCACCTGGTAAGTACCATACACACAGTGGCTACCTCAACACAAACTGGGTACCTGGTAAGTACCATACACAGAGTGGCTACCTCTACACATACTGGATACCTGGTAAGTACCATACAGAGTGGCTACCTCTACACATACTGGATACCTGGTAAGTACCATACACAGAGTGGCTACCTCTACACATACTGGGTACCTGGTAAGTACCATACACACAGTGGCTACCTCTACACATACTGGGTACCTGTTAAGTACCACACACACAATGGCTACCTTAACATGTACTGGGGACCTCTGGTAAGTACCACACACATGCAGTGGCTACCTCTATACATACTGGTTACCTCTGGTAATACGACACACACACAGAATTGTTCCTAACCTTTGAAAGAAAATAGTCAATGTTTCAAATACTTTATACATTAATAGTTACCGGCATATCTAAAGTAACTCAACATTACATGAATCTAAAGTAAGTTTAGCTATGTTTATTAGAATGTCAACTTTGATGATTTTTATTTGTGGTTTGTGTTAAAATACTAGAATCCCTGACAATTGTATGTGAATTACAGCTTATCTAGTTTATATAGGAATAGTATGTAACATTGTTATACCACCAAGTTCTCATTATAAGGAAATAAATAGAGTCTATATATATTTGTTTACCCTGCCCAGCTGTTACTTAAACAAGTATCCTTCTTGGCAGATGTTGCCTCTGTTTCATTACCTTTCGCGTTCAGTTATTGATAACCACAGAATGACATATAAACCTATACTTACAACTAGGTTGCCTTTTTCTATGCTATGCTTTTCTGATGAATATAATTTTAAATGCCTAACTCATAAATTTCATTTAAATTTCAGAACAGTCTTAATAAATGGTTAAAAAAAATCATTACCTAGATATAGACGTAAATTGACATTAATGTCATTTAGAAATGTTCTTAATTATAATAAAATCATTGTTAATTTATTTAGTTAAATAATGTAGAGTTTGATACATGCTTTTTAATGATGCATCTGACCTATGGTTTACACTTCAGTGACTGTGAAGTGAAAAAGAACTTGAATAAATTGATTTTTGGAAAGAGGAATTAGTTCTGCTAGGACAGCTCTAGTTTGTTGCTTTGTTAGAAATGAAATCTTTTTAATTCAAGAATTTGAGCAAGGCTCAAGTCTTAATCTGATAATAACAAGCACAATATATAAACACTTGTCTAGATGACCTGCAATATAATTCTTGTCACATTTTAGGGTTTTGTGATTTTTGTTACGATGTGCCGTGAGGCCCTCGATGATTACAGAAGATACAGACGTGACAAAGAAGCCAACTCGCAGAAATTCCGTAAGCTAACACGAGATGGCATGGTACCAGTTCCCAGCAGTAACATCAGAGTGGGCGATCTTATTGTGGTCGATAAGGTATCATATTGATTTTATTACCTGTGATATATATTGATCTGTATTTGTTGACATTTTTGGATTTTATTACCTGTGATATATATTGATCTGTATTTGTTGACATTTTTGGATACTTTCTTATGATGACTCTTATTCAGATTGTTGTTGTCTCGGATCAGTATGTGTCAGTTGACCTAGTTTTCTTGTTTCCATTTTGTTTTGGATTAGCCTATGCCAGTCAACAAAATTCTCTGATATCAAGGATCAAGTAGTGCCAACTGACATGGTTTTCTTGTTTTTTTTTAAGATCAGCCAGTGCCAGCTGACATGGTTTTCTTGATTTTTAGGAATCAGCAAGTTCAAGCTGACATAGTTTTCTTGATTTTTAGGATTAATGAGTGCCGACTATCATGATTTTCTTGTTTTATTTTTTTAGGATCAGCAAATGGAGGCTGACGTGATTTTCTTGTTTTATTTTTAGGATCAGCGAGTGCAGGCTGACATAATTTTCTTATTTTCTTTTTTAGAATCGGTGAGTGCTGGCTAACAGGATTTTCATGTTTTATTTTTAGGATCAGTGAGTGTCGACTGACATGGTTTTCTTGTTTTATTTTTAGGATCAGCGAGTGCCAGCTGACATGGTTTTCTTGAGGACCACAGAGAAGACAGGTGCTTGTTTCATCAGAACAGATCAGCTGGATGGAGAGACAGACTGGAAACTAAAGCTAGCAGTACAAAGCACCCAGAAACTTCATGTCAATGTGGTGAGTTGTAACTTTTGTCAGAACTGTGGTATTAAGATAAACAAATGTATATGAATGACATCTCCAAAAACCACTCCTTTGCAGGATATTTTGGATATAACAGCAGAGGTGTATGCTGAGGCTCCTCAGAAAGACATTCACAGTTTTGTTGGTACATTTAAACGGGTGAGTATTGTCATCTTTCTTGTTTTGTGTTTGTTATTCATCACTTCATTAATATATAATTTCATTTTAGGTATAGGGATAGTTTAAGGATACTTTATCAGTGAAATATGTTTATATCTACTTTTTATATCCTAAGTCTCATGTTGATAGTTATTGATTTCTCATCGATCTAAATGTGATGATAATATAGTGACTGATACCAAAGTAATATTGTAACTGAGTATAAAGTATTTCATCTATATACAATACTTATCATACTTATCATTGTCAATGACAAACTTTTATTCAAAAGTCAGAAACTAGGAACTCACAGAAGCTCACTAATTAAGATTGTACCACAGACGTGTGTTTGTATTGTTACAGTATGATGAACCTGTAGAAGACTCACTCAGTGTTGAGAATACTCTCTGGTCCAATACTGTAGTAGCCTCAGGGTCAGCCCTGGGGGTGGTGATATACACAGGGTCAGAGACTCGTAGTGTAATGAACACCTCCCAGCCACCATCCAAGGTACAAGTCATAGTATGCCTCATCAGGATTTATTTAAAATCTAACTTGACCAGTTATTTTGTTTACAAAAAATCATAACACTGTATAATTTTACACCTTGTACAGTTTTGTTTCATGAATAATTCTCTCAGGATCAGTTCTAAATTTTGAAAAATTTAATTTTTCCCTTCAGAATGTAAAATCATGTGACTAATTAACTATTTTAAATACAAGTACACAAACTACTGGTACCTGTTAATAATGGGAATATGTTTATGTTAATGGGAATATCTCTCTTGTTCTGTAGGTTGGTCTCCTGGATCTAGAAGTCAACACACTGACTAAGCTGTTGTTTTTTGCTGTAATAATTTTGTCTGTGGTTATGTTAGCTCTAAAGGTAAGACTTCATTTAAACTCACAAGTTTGTAAATGTTGCATGTGTAAGTCTTCATTTAAATTCAGTAAGGCATCATTTAAATACAAAAGTACATGTATGGAGATTCAAAGACTGTCCTAAACTCAAAGATTTATAAAGGAAAGAGTTTAATTTCACAGTTCTGTAGAGTACATGTATTTTTATGCGATTGTAATCAGTAAAGGAATTTGTTAAAACTTTGTATAGTTTACTATAGTGTTAAATTTTGTTTGAGTGAAAGAAATATCTGAGATATAAATACAGTATGTATGAGTATCTGATGTTATGTTTTTAATTTCAGGGATTTGATGGCCCCTGGTACAGATATCTCTTCAGATTTATACTTCTCTTCTCTTACATTATTCCTATCAGGTAGTACAAAAATCTGAAAATAGTCATAGTTTTTGTTATATGTATACATTTGCACTTTATGCCAATAGCTTCGTGTCTTTCAATTTTTTGTCTAGTTTGCGAATCAATCTGGACATGGGGAAGGCAGCATACTCATTCATGATCCAGCGAGATAAATCAATCCCAGAAACCATTGCTCGTAGCACCACGATTCCAGAGGAATTAGGCCGTGTTAGCTACCTCATGTCTGACAAAACTGGCACACTCACACAAAATGAAATGGTAATTGACCTGAGTACAACTCATCTCTTCCACTGAAATGTGTACAACTCACTTGCATAAATACGGTGCTGTAGTTTGCTCATTGAGATAATTGCCTGCTAATGTTTAGAAATAAAGATTAATTTTCTGTGTTTTGATAGGTTTTCAAGAAACTACATCTGGGAACTGTGTCATTTACCCCTGAAACAATGGATGAGGTAAAAATTCATTTTGTTCACATTGTTTATCAGAAGTATAATTTATCGCTCAAATACAGAGGTTATTTCAATATTTGATATTGATACTCCAGCAATTAATTGAAGAATTTGTTATTTGAAATAAATTTATACTGAAATACCTGCACATGTAGGTACAGTCCCATTTGAGAACCACATTTGCTCAACAACAAAAGGAGGCACAACCATCCCAGCAACCTTTCTTAGGTCCCTCCATGACCCCCTCTCGTAGTGGTGGTCCCGTACGAAGGACAGTGATCACCCGAGTGTTTGAGGCAGTCAGGGCACTTGCTCTGTGTCACAACGTGACTCCAGTGTATGAGGAGAGTGAGAATAGTGATGTTGGATACGAAACTGAGGCTGATCAACAGAGTCAGCAACAGGTGGTGTACCAGGCTTCCAGTCCTGATGAGGTCAGTACCAAAGAGAGGCTGATAGAATGCTGATTGTAATAGTGGCTTGATGTTAAGTTAGTAAATATTGCAACTGTCAAACACAGTCAGCATAAAGTTTTGAATTTAAAAAATGCCTGATTATTGATGGGATTCGCATAAGTATCCATATAGCTGAGTATGTAAAAAATGGGATGGTGTTGTCTTTTTCTTCTTGTCTGTTTATCTGTCCACAACCTGATCATAAATATTTCACTCCAGACATGACAAAAGAATGTAAAAAATATGAAGATTACATTTGGTTATTTGTTTAAGATTTAGTTTTTATGGTGAGTGGTCAAAAATGAAATTCCTACAAAAATTGTATGTTTTTCTAAAATACATGTAAATCTTGTAAAATCTAGCATTATCACTGAACAATCACAATTTCTTTCCTGTGTTAGTATTTCCTTGATGTTTGATATAGGTTCCTCTGGTGACTTTTTTGTATTATTACTTCCTTGATGTTTGTGATACTAGTACATGTACAAATGTGTGTAGATTTTTACCCCTTCCTTCATTTCTTAGAGGATGCTGTTTACTTTCTGTATTTTAATGGCTGAAGGAGCTGAGACAATAGCCATTTGTGAGATGTATGAAAACTCTTTGGAATATGGGCCATATCTCAAGAATAATTGGCATTTATCATATTTATCACAAAGTAGGCTCGGGTCAAGGGCTTTTATCAATATTATACAAAGGAATATGACCATTAAACAAGAAGAGGTAATTTGGGAATAAATGTTTTAAAAAAGGAGTACCAGGTAGTTACTCTAAAATCTTCTGAAGAAACAGTGTCTAGGGCAGATTTATGCCAAACTTGTACAGAAGGATGAGGCTTTATTGTGAATTTGTTCAAGGCATTAACTAGGGGAAAGGATGTGATTTCAAGATCACTCTAAATTGACATAAAATGATAAGATCATCAAATTTTATCAGGTGATGCATCTTGGGGTCTCTGTGTGTAACAACCCAAAAGTACAATGAAGGTCATTCTGACATACATTTAGAATTTTGCAGTTGTCTACTTTCAGTTTTATGCATATGTTGAACACTGTGATGGATAGTGTCATGAAATCTTGCAATATAATCATCATCAGGTCTCAAGGTGTGTCATCCAAAATACAGGTCACAGTGACCTGCTTTTGGAATTTTCAGCTATTCATTTTCAAATATTTACATTTCCAATACATTTTCCTTAAGATTCTTTGCAAATTAGAAGACTGTTCATTTTCTCATGAACTACAATGGGTGAGCATGAATATCTCTATTGTTTCATCATAATACCATACTTGACATCAAAACTATAGTGCAAACTGTTTTGTTTTAAAAATGACAGTTGAATTGTGGCAACTCATCAGAAAAATAATGTAAATATAAGAAATGAATTTAATTTTTGAAGATTCATGAGGTACATGAACTACGACGCTTCACGCTGGCATATTTATCATGAAGCGCTGACGCGCTTCATGAAATATGCCAGTGTGAAGTGTCGTAGTTCATGTCCTCATGAATCTTCAAAAATTAAATTCATTTCTTAAATGTTATTTTTTTGTAATAGATACATTATACATGTAAATGTATCTCTTAAGTCTACCAGCAATAATTTAATCCTCTCCGATATTTTAAATCTGAAGTCCTCCCCTCCCCCCCCCCCCCCTCCCCTACACACCCACACACTATGCACACTATGAGGTCTTGGATCAACCATGTCATTTGATGCACCTTGGAAACTAAAACACTTTGAATTTTTTGCTTGTTTTGCATTTTATCAGAAGAGTATTCTAAGCCTCTGGAAATCTTGTTGTATTCTCAGTGTTCATTATAGGTTGCTTTGGTTACCTGGACAGAGAGTGTTGGTCTGACTTTACTGAAGAGAGATCTGAATTCCATGCAGCTGAGAGCTCCTAATGGTTCAGTCATTACCTACCATATTCTCCACATCTTCCCCTTCACATCAGAGACCAAGAGAATGGGGATCATTGTTAAAGTATGTTCTTCTTTTTTCATTGATATTGTCATTTATAGTTAAGGTACCATGTATTCTGGTGTGTCTTTTTTAAACTTAAAATTTATACAATGATTATATATATTAACTAAATTTTCAAATCTTCGAAAAATCTGTATTATAATAATTTTTTTTATTTATCAGGAAGAGAAAACAGGAGAGATTTCTTTTTACATGAAAGGTGCTGATGTTGTAATGCAGACAATTGTGCAATATAATGATTGGTTAGAAGAAGAGGTAGGACACCTATGTTATATATATTATTGTGTGCTTCATTAAACTTTTTCTTTAATGTTTTCCCATCATTAAGATCAAAGTTACAATAATGATATTAACTGCCCTAATGATGAATTGTAGCATGATAAAAGCATATCATAAGATGTATTTATGCAGTCATCCCAGTAGTGCAACATTTTGATATAATTATTGGTACAACATGGCATTTTTTTAAAACAGTGTGGAAATATGGCAAGAGAGGGACTCAGAACTCTTGTTGTTGCTAAAAAAATATTGACAGAAGATCAGTACCAAGAATTTGATGTAAGTCTCTTTATTATTAATTAAATTGATGCAAGAGTTTTCTTGTACCTTATATACTCACCTATAAGTTGATCCGCCTATAAGTCGGTTGTATTTTTTAAGCTTAAATTAGAGGGATTGACCTGTTAAAATACCAATCTTTTTATAACTTATGTATAAGTCGGATACAGAGTTTTGGACCAAAGTTTAACTCCTAAAAAACCGACTTATAGGCGAGTATATACCGTATGTAAAAAAAAAACAAAAAAAAAAAAAACAATATTTTTAAAGATCTTGTGAAAAACAAAATATTTTGTTTTAAGCTAATTTTTTTTTTTTTTGTTGAAAATTTAATTCCTCTGTGATGTATTACAGACTCGCTATCATCAAGCCAAAATGAGCATTCAGGACAGAAATGTTAAAATACAGGGAGTGATTGAGAGTTTAGAGAGGGACATGGAGTTGTTATGTCTGACTGGTGTGGAGGATAAACTACAGGAAGGTGTTAGACCTACACTGGAAATGCTGAAAAATGCTGGCATTAAGGTAGATAGATGTATAATACTAGTATTTCAACACTGCAAATAGAGTCACCAATTCATAATATACCGTATAAGTAGAAATTTTAATTAGGACTTTATTTTGGTATTTTTAGCAAAGGTGTTGAGATCGCTAAAATTGAATATTGCTAACAATTTATTCTGCATTGAAGGTTACCGTAGTCTTTTTAGGCATTATTAAATCCTAAAATTACTAAAATTTAAAACTTATTTTTAAGAACAAATCACTAAATTTGTGTCTTGCTAAAATTTCCACTTCTATGGTATATCTAAGATTATTGAATTTTTAAAGTTCAACTTAAATTTGCAAAGGAAAAGGAAATGCACAAAATATTTGAATCCATTATCAGGTACATTTCCCTGTATAATGGTTATGCAAGGATCAATGTCGGTAACAATTGTATCTCAAGCCAACCAATTTAATCATGAAATGGGGAGATTTCTAGAGTTGTTGGAGTCTTTGGTAGAAGGAATCAAAATGCAAACATTCCAGGACAGTTGTTAGGTGCAGTGTAGGACTGAATTAAAACAGAATTTTTTTTTGGAAGACAGAAAATATTCAATGGCCTATCAAAGGACCAAAGTACAACAAACGGAACTTCAGAAATTGATAGATACATGTATAGGGTATGTTTTTAGGTCACCTGAGTCACTCTGGTTTTTGTCTGTTTTTGTGCATTGTCAGGCATCCGTGAACATTTGAACATTTTCAGCTTCTTCTCTGGAAGTGCTTAACCAATTTTGGCATATAGCATCATGTCAAAGGGGGACAAAAAGTATGCATTCATGGCCCTTGCCTCCCTGCCCTCCCCAGGGCCTGAAGGATGGGGCCAAAACCATCAAAATTAATGCAATCTTCAAAAATCTATTTAGTTTAGTTTGAATTAGTTCAAGTATACAAAATGTTTTAAAACTTTGGGAGGTTTTTAACAAGTTTTCTTTCTGAAATAGCATTTTAAAAATATACATTTGGTGTTTTTTTTTCTTCTCTTGTGTGCCGACTATGATTTGAAGTTACATGTGAAATCTCTGATGGAAAATTTAGTAAATTTAGAAAGCTTTTGCTATGGAGAAAGAAAACATTTTATCAATAATATTTTTTTTAATGACTTCATAGATTTTGTAATAAATGACAGGAGGAATTGCTGAAAATAAGATGAATTATTGAATTCATTTACGTAATAAAGTAATCATTGTTTTGCTATGCAATGAAATCTTGGATGTTGAGACTCTACTCTGATATCTCCACATTTTCCAATAGTCCCACCGATATCTCAATACCAAAGTTTACCTTTAATTTCATAATACAACTTGGTTAATGACTTTATGCCTTTGTAGGTGTGGATGTTGACAGGAGATAAACTAGAAACTGCTATTTGTATCGCTAAGAGTTCTAAGCTTGTGTCCAGGACACAGGACATTCACATCTTTGGAGTGGTCAGTGGCCGGACCGAGGCTCATTTACAGCTGAACGCACTGAGGAGAAAGCAGGACAATGCCTTAATAATCACAGGAAACTCACTACAGGTAATGACCTCAGTATTCTAAAAATACATCTCATTATCTCGAACTCTATGGGGCAGAGGAAATTCAAGAGATATCCAAGGATTCAAGACATCCATGTTAAATAGATAAAGAAATAGTGATTGGGACTTCCAACTTAATTTGGCATATCCATAGTATTAGAGATATTGGTGTTTGAGATACCAAACAACTGTAATTTTCATCAAATCTTCATTAAGTGTTGTCACATTTTAAGTTTAACATCAGACTTTATGAGAAAACTTTGCATAGTTTTAGTTGTTTTTTCTTCTTATAATTTTGTGTTGTAAAAGGACATTGGTTACCGGGTATTTGATTGACAGGTGTGTCTGAAATACTATGAGCATGAGTTTGTCGAGCTAGCCTGTCAGTGTCCATCTGTTGTTGTTTGTCGATGTTCACCAACTCAGAAAGCAGACATTGTGAAACTCTTACAGAACCACACCGGGAAACGCACATGTTCCATAGGTAATTAACTAAAATGAAAATCCTACAAAACCACACCAAGAAACACACATGTTCCATAGGTAATTGATTAAGTAGAAACTCCTACAGAACCACACCTGCACATTTCATACATGTGTAGGTATTTTAATTTAGTACAAACATCTACAGAACCACTCAGGGAAATGTACATTCCATTGGTAATGATTATTGATTGGATAATTAAGAAGAAACAAAATTCCTACAGAACCACCTTGGGAAACACACATGTTCCATAGATCAAACTCCCACAGAATTGCAATGGGAAATGCACATGGTTCATAGGTTATTGTTATTGTCTAATTAAGCAGACTACTGTATACAGGGAAATTTTCACCCCCATTTTATTTTTGCCCCTTTTGCCCTACTCACAGGTGGGTGAATTTGAAACGGGACAAATTCAAAGAACATATATATTTCTTAAACAGAACTGTGACTGGGCGAATTTAAAATGGAGCAAAATTGCTTGCACGTGTGAAAGGGCAAAAATAACATGGGGTGAAAATAAACCTGTATACAGTATTTCTGATTATTTGCCCCTGTGTAGAAAGTTGATTGAAAAATATCTGCAACAGATTTCATACCATGTTGTACTATAGTTAATAAAATGTAAACCTTTTAATTTATAGGGGATGGAGGAAATGATGTCAGTATGATCCAGGCAGCTAATGTTGGTGTTGGAATTGTGGGTAAAGTAAGTAAACACATCTCTGTCACTTCAAAGTCAGCTAATGTGTTATGTATTCACAAAAACAAACTGTATTTTTAATTTTTTTAAAAATTCAAATCCTAATGTCTGTCATGGTAAAATTTTATTGAATTCTGTATGATGCCTCTTATCCAAGTGATGTAATTATAGTGGAAGATGTGATTATTTTCTTGTATTATGTTGTAGGAAGGAAAACAGGCCTCACTAGCTGCTGATTTCTCTATCACTCAGTTTAGTCATATCGGGAGGCTTTTAATGGTGCATGGCAGAAACAGGTCAGAAACTAGGGGGAAATCAATTTTGTAAAAAATGGCAGAGAATTCTTCTGGTTGAATAACTTCAAATCAGTTATTTAATTTCTTGACATGAGGAACCTGATTATTGACAAACAATGAGTATTTTGTGTTTGCCTTCATTTTATGAGAGCCTCTTTTATTTTCAGCTACAAGCGTTCAGCCTCCCTCAGTCAGTTTGTCATGCATCGAGGCCTCATCATCTCCACAATGCAGGCTGTATTCAGCTCTGTTTTCTACTTTGCTTCCATTGCTTTATTTCCTGGTTTCCTTATGATTGGGTAATTACAGTCAAACTTGTCATAGCGGTCACCTTTATCCAGCGGTCACCTGTCCTATGCGGTCATTTTATTTCCTCCCAATGAATTTTCCTATATAATGTAACTCTATTTAGCAGTCACCTGCGTAACGCGGTCATCAAATTTCATGTAAAATCGCCTTTTTACCTCGTATATAGCGGCAATTTTGTCCAATCACATGACCAGATCTAAAGTCAGGTGACTCCCAATTTTTGTCACTAATGTAAATAATTGGTCTTGTGTGGAGTGAAATCATGGAAAAAATAATTGGCCTTATTAAAACCATTTAAAATATTGGATAATCTATTTATTTTTTTTAACAAAACTAAACAAGGGTGCTTGTGACTGAAAAGGTTAAATTATCAGGAAAACGGACTTACGAGAATCTTAATCTTATTTAATTGGAATATAGTTTAAAAAATTCTGAATAATACACAAGGCATCCTTATTTATCTATTAATGGATACAATAATTAGGTGTTTCCTAATTATTAGTTTACGTTTGGCATGCTCAACTACGATAGGTGTAATTGTGTAAACGCATGACAGGCCGATTTTAACACATAGGAAACATATTATTTGTAGAAGCCCTAATTAATGGTTTTGTATACTCAATGTGTCCTGATTATCTCGTGATTTTCAATTAGGTAAGACGACCGTTAGGATTAGTCACGCTTCATTGCTCACAACACCTGTGAATTTGATATCAGTTTGTATTATGCACTGCTTTGATAAACTGAGAATATTATGACTTGTCTGTTTATTACGCTACTATTTATGTATTGTTAAACATACAATTATCAGAACTAACTAAACTTGTTTTTAGAGGCAGTTTAGATAAAAAATACATTATATTTTATTCATGGCACAACATGATAATGTAATCTTATAATAAAAGAAAGTTTTGTTGTTGTTTGGAGGGAGGATAATGCAATGCCCTACTGTATTAGACTCAATATATTTTTGTTGGAGTCATCAAACTTAGCTTGAACTTAACCTTGAGACTATTTAAATTTCTAAAAAAAATCTAACTGAGACCATTGATGTCCAAAACACATCTTTCTTTAATATTCTATGATGTAGTGTTTCAAAACTCAGAACTTACATAAATTACAAAAGAATTTTTCATGAAAAAAGATGAACCTCTTTTCAAAGGTCACCTCTCTATAAAGGTCACTTTTAATGGTTCCCGCAGGTGACTGCTTAATACAGGTTTGACTGTATTATTATTAAATATCACATTTCATATCTGACAAAAATATAAATGTATGTGTTAGAAACTGTATAAAGAGAGAAAAATCTGTTTCACATTTTGAACTCCCATTTTAATGAAGAATGTTCTTTAATCAGGATCTTTAAATTATTCTAAAATCCATATTCTCCAGAAATTCCTTGTTCAGCAGGAGTATACTATTAAATGCTGCAGTTATACTGAACATCCTATTTCAATTTTATAAGCTCTACTGTGTTGATAACAAGAGGAGTTTATGCATTGGTTAAATGTTTATCATCTGTCTGTCAGGCATCTGGGAAAAAAAAACAAAATCAAAATGATACTCCTTCCAAAATTCTGGGTAAGTATACAAGTAGACTACAAAAAGATACATACCGGTACATATGTTATTCAATTTGTCAATTTTTAATTTTTAACAATATTGCATTGGATGCTAAAATACAAGAATATTCTACATGTATATTACATGTATTTTCAAATTGCTACTTTTCTTATAGTTTAGGCTTGATTTTAAGTGCAGTTTGATACTTTATTTCCGATACTGAAAGATACATATTGTAATTCTTTTTATCAAATTTGAATTTGGAACAGTGTTCCCTTGGTTTCTTAGAAAAATGGTCAGTTGAATTTATCCAAAATGCTACTCCTCAGTTTTAGCCAAATTTCAATATCAGTACAACTTGGTACACATGTAGATTACATCAAGGTACAAAATTCTACCTTCAAATTTTTAATTTCCCTGAGGATATTGCCATGGCTATTTACAAGATAATCATCATTAAACTATTCAAAAAAAAAAGAATTCTTACAGTTATGGTTTGAGTCAGGTAAAAAACAAGTAGATTATATCACCATATACAGTCAAACCTCGTTATCTCGAACTCAATGGCACCAAGAAAAAACTTCGAGATATCCAAGGGTAAGAGATATTGAGGGTAAAATACTTAAAGAAAAAGTGCTTGGGACTTCCACATCACTTCGACATATCCATGGTATTCGATATATCAGTGTTCGAGATACACTGAAATTTAACTGTATGTTTTAATTTCAAAGTTTTTTTTTTCTTTCAATGTGTGATGTTGCCATAGTTACTATAGTAAATAGGATAAACTGTAGGTACTCCTAAAGTTTTCATTTGATTCAATTAAAACCTTAAGTTCAAGTCATCTGATATAAAACAAAAAAATCTAAAACTTTAAAAATATGAAATGTGAGTGTCCAAGTGTCACTTTTCTCTCAGTTGAAACCAGTAGAGCTCCAGTCTCATCAGAGACTTCTAATTGTTACAGTTATGCTACAGTATATACAATGTACCCCGTGTTTTCTCTGGTGCTGGATAAGGATGTTTCCGCGGAGACGGCCATGACCTATCCTGAACTGTACAAGGAACTGGTCAAGGTAACAGAATACTCTACTGTTCCTTCTCATATTTTGATTCTATCTTTTTAATCGAATGTTTTGGAAGTTTTTGGCAGTAATCCTGAGTGCTTCATTAATGTTTGTATGCTTTGTTTCAGGGGAGATCACTTTCATTTAAAACATTTTTCCTGTGGGTTCTTATAAGTATTTATCAAGGTAAGTTATGAAGTATTATATCAGATACTCTTTGAATAATCAACCTTTTCAGTGATTGTTCACATACTGTCAATGTGTAAATGTTTGCTTGTGGGAAATTTTTGCCAATTCTGCGATTAGTAAAGTTTCACAAAATCTATCGGCATTTGAACGGTTTCATATAAGGAACCATACTAAACAACAAACGTACACAATTTGTATATTCTTAATTAACTTCCACAAAAATAGTCCCTACGCATATGCTTTTTTTTCCGTAGACATTGCAGAAGTTTACCTTGTAAAAATATCTTACAGTACATATGGAGGTGTAAAAATACATTTGTAGATTATTATTAAATATTATGCTAAAATCTCTTCATTATCTATAGCACATGAAATATGCATGGAATTTAAAATATCTTTACATTATTCACTAGAAGGTAAATCAAACATGTACAGTGATTTGGGGAAATGAGTGTAAAATATTTTGACCTGATCCACATCTGATTACAGGTGGTATCATTATTTACGGTGCTCTGTGGCTGTTTGATGAAGACTTCGTTCATGTTGTGTCCATTACATTTACCTCCCTCATTTTGACTGAGCTGCTCATGGTGGCGTTGACAATAAGAACATGGCACTGGGCAATGGTTGTTGCTGAAGTATTCAGTTTAGCCATTTATATTTTATCACTTGTCGTACTGCGTAATTACTTTGGTAAGTTTCTTTTCCCTGGAGAGAGTATTGTTTAGGTTATGCAGGCAAAAAAAACAATCTTATTGGGGGGGGGGGGGGCTTTAAAATATGTATCTTAAAGCTCATTTTGTAAATTTTTCAATATGATTGATACGTGCTCTACAAAAATATATCTCATTCATTTTGTATATATGTGTATACTTGTATCGATGTGATATACCTGTATGGAGTAAGTGTTATATTCATTTTCCAACCTAAAAAAAAGATTCATTGTATATTAATTGTTTTCATTTTAGATGGGACGTTCTTGAGGACATGGGATTTTATCTGGAAGGTAGTGGTCATCACGTCAGTCAGCTGTATACCCTTGTATATCCTAAAATACATACGAAAGAAATTCTCTCCACCAGTCTATGCCAAGCTTACTTGAGATTGTGTGCTATAGAATGCCAAGCTTACTTGAGACTATGTGCTATAGAGAAAGGAATAACAGGGTCTGGATCATTTTGGAAAACTATTTCTTACAAGAAGTGTCTCTGAATCAATGAACAAGAAAACCATCAGTACATAGGAATATTTGTGCAATTTCATTTACTTTTTTTAGACATACTTGAATTCCATCCTATTTGGCTGTGTGATAGCATTCCTCTCTATGCTTGTAAAATACGATCTATAATTCATTACAGTACTCTAGTGTCTGTATGACTGTAGATTACATTTTATCTGTAATTCATTACAAGTAATCTCAATATTCCCAGTGCTATGTATATTCTTCATGTAAGGCCTGTAACAGCAAATTCAAATATTACCTTTGATGCTATTTTTTCTCAAAGAGGTTAAATCCACTTGTACAATCAATATACGAGTAATGGCGAATTTTACTAGACAATATCGTTCTTTTTCTTTACAGTTCATATATATTTTTTTCATGCATACATTTTTTAATTTATTATGTTAATCATGAATTTACAATTTTGTTTATGTTTTTTTTTTACCCCCGCTCCGAAGGAGAGGGGGATATACTGTTTTACCCTTGTGTGTCTAGCTGTCTGTGTGTCAGTGTGTATGTCGGTATCAAATTTCCATCACAGTTTTCTCAGCAACTATTCATCACAGATGCTTAAAATTTTAGCACATTCTTTGTTTAGGCATGCCATATGATGGGATTCATTTTTGTATGAATTCAATGTCAACATGAGAGGGTATATTCACAACAGAGCCGGGGTATTACTAGTGAGCATTTGCTCACAGACTTCTTGTTTTTTGTAAAATGAAACTGAGAGTAAATTATGGAATGCTTTTAAGTTATCACCAGTTTATTTATTGATACATGTATTTAAATATTGGCTGAAATACCATGTACCTATCATTACTTTGTTTTTATTGATACACATTCTACCAATAATGTAGACTGCTATATCTTTGATGTGACCATAAACTTTTCTTTTTAGTGGTGTTCGGTTCACCTCTGAAGAATAAATGACATATAAATTGTTGTGTTCTGTTTTTACAAGTACACTACCACATTAATGTGGATGGACGTTTCACTGCAAGTCATTAAGTGAAAAAATTGATACATATTGGACATTTAATTAATCAGGGATGAATACTTTGGTTCGGTTTGTATCCTAAAAGATTGTACAACTGCATAGTTGGGTTTCAGAACCTTTTACTTGTCTTACTACATTAAGCATAGCCTGCTGCAAACTGCAGAGATTTTTTTCCCTCGGAAATAGGGTCGGCTACTTGATACTGAAGGCAATTAAGTACATTTGTATTTAATTCACGATTACTTCACTTTTCTCATCTTGCTCTGAAGTACTATTGTACAATCTTCAAATGCTCAGCAAATAACCCCCCCCCCACCTTTACCCGACTGTGAATATCATATTGCAATATACTACTACTACTACTAATAATAATAATACATGTAATACTTAATTTAAAGGTGACCAGGCCTAAAGACCATAAATTGATAATAGACTTAAGTCAAAATTTTGATTTTAAATATTTCTAGTTCCATTTAACATATATGCATAAAATCTGACAGATTTTTATAATACACAAATTCAAACACATTGAAAATTTTGATTTCATTATCCAAATTATTTCAGAGTTTAGTACTTCACATTTTCTTGCTAATACATGTAGTGTCATTATATTATACTAATTAATATATTTTTATACTGTATATCATTTTGATAAGATATACAGTTCAACTTCGGTATCGTAATAACCAATATATGTACCTTGGATATGTTTAAGTGATTTAGAAATCCCAACCACTTATTCTTTAAGTATTTTACACTCCATATTTCAAAATCTTGGATATATCTCAAAGTTTTTTCTTGGTCCCATTGAGTTCAAGATAATGAGGTTTGAATGTAAAGCAAGTCGAGAACCCAGTTTATGTCTTGGAATAAATGACAGTCCAACAGGTTTCCTTTATTTCAAATTCACGAAAAAATATTCAATTAATCCGAAATAACTTTTATTGATACAACATTGTTATAATAACATAAAGTGCTGTATACTGGGAAAAACAACCAGTCTAAATTAAAAATTGCTGTATAAAAATGGCCTTAAGTTTAAAAAGCTGACAGGTTTCAAAAGGTCATGTAAAGAAAACTGGAAAAAAAATGATATAAAAATAAAAAAGCTGTACAATGTTTGCATCCAAAAATCATGACATACATGGTATATCTTGCTGAGGAAAACACATCGCTGGCACAGAAAATTATTACACCTGTTTTCTACAGGAATACAAAATGGCTACCTTACATTGAATTTTGTGTACATATGAACTGTCCTGTGGAAGAAATACATAGTTTGTGGTTCTGGGTAATACAATTACACTTTCTTTGGTAAAATTATCAATAAGTGTCCTGATGTAAAGATTGAGTCAAGAATACATGATTGGAAGAAAATGGAAAAATAAAAACAAAAAATTATCATATGATCAGTTATGCTGATTTGTGAAAGAACAGGTTGCATTTTTTAGAATGAGGAAAATCTAACTTGCAGGTATAAAATAAACCTGCATACAACTCATTGAACATATAGTGAGCTATGCTCAAAGATTCACAAAACATGCATTAAGTTAAAACTTAATGACAATAAATATTGATCTTAACAAATGTTCTTCACAGAAGAACCAAAGTCAATCTAATTTGTGCCAAAGCACAAAATTTTGTTGCTGACAGAAAATGAAGCTGATTTTTAGTTGGCACAAAAAAATTCAAACTCTTGTTCACAAGGAATTTTCTTAAAATCAGACAAATAGATGTTCCAAATACTTCAGTAACTCTTAATTTTTGTGTTTTATGATTTAGTTTACAATAAGATTTTTCAGAACCAAAGTTAACACACTGAACAGAAATGTTGCACCTTTGTGCTATGAAGTCATGGCTGGATAAATTATCAGTGCGAGTCCTGCATCTCATATACATCTCATTTCCATAACAATGTATTGCTGAGCAACATTTCAACATTATAAAGGAAACTTTTTCTTATAAAAACTTTTAAAGTCAAATTTGCTAAAGCCATCTCAGGATTTTAAGCACATTTGCTTGCATTTCTTTAAGGAATGCCAAAAAACCCCATAAATATCATATGCATACATATGTAATTTCACATACCCTTTTGTACAATACATATAGTGACCTTTAAAATTTCTTTTGTATGCTTTCTTGCACTATTTTGCATGTTTTCGTAATAGTATCACATGATATGTACATCAATATAAAGTATTTTTCAATTATGGTTAAACAATATAATGGGTATTGTATTGTTTTATCAACTGTAGTGAGAGTTACTATTATTCATATGCCAAAGACAAATCAACTGTAGAAAAATTGAAGCAAGAGATCATATTCCTCCTTATGACAGCTTTCTCAACCCTGTTAATTTTCCAATATATCTTTCAGTTATCAGATCTTGCTTCCTGGTCAGTGGCACTACATTTTACATCCCTGGATATTGACCACCCCCATAAAGACTGGCTGAAGGATAAGCAGGTCCCTGTCCATGGTAACCACTGGGATACCCCAAAGGGGATACTCCTCCAGGTATAGAGCTGGGAAGGCCAGTCGGAATGGTATTTGGGGCTCCCACAGGATATCCTCTGGGAACACTGGTTACAGGCAATCCTTGGTAAGCCCCTTGATGTGTAAGAGCACTTGGGATGGATATCACTGGATTAGCAGTAGGATAGTTGGAGCTCTGTTGTAGAGGGTGGGGACTGTTGAGGTATGTGGGGGTCATGGAAGGATACTGGGCTGTGGCAGGATAGGCTAGGGTGGAAGGAGGCATGGTCGACAGCGAGGGGTGAGGTACAGGCTGGGAGGGTCTGTAAGGCCCAGCTGAAGATGCTAAAGTGCTGCTGGGATAAGGAATCCCTGAAATAAGTTGTATGAAATATCTACAAGCTTAGACTAATAAACTGAGGATAAAATAGTAAAAGCTTATTAGACAAATAAGCTGAGTAATCTAGCTTCATGATGGTCATATGCAATTTATTTCTGGCAGAGAAACCTACATACGCATTACATGTACAAATGAATTTATTATTTTTATTTCATCTGATTTTATCATTATAGGAAAAGTTACTATGAAAAGTTACCAGCAGGGTATCCAGACATAGTACTGAAGCCCTGCATGGCTGGAGCTGTTGTAGACATAGGGTTCCCAATGTACTGCTGGCCCATGGCTCCTGCTGGGCTGGCGTACCTAGGCTGGGTTAGAGAAGGTCCAGATGAGAACCCTGGCAGCAGACCTTGCTGGGAGGGGGGATATCCAGATCCTGGGTACCCATGCTGTCCATAAAGACTGCTCTTGTCTACTGTGGGGGCTCCATAAAAGTTCATTCTCTGAAACATTGAAATTAACGTTACACTGGAATTTTTTCATATGGAAAATAAATTGTATGCACTCTTAAAGTAAATTTATTCTTACACACAAGTAAATTGAACATTTCATCTGACAAATAAAACATCATAAAAATAGATGGGAAGTTATATAAAAAAAGTGTTATGGACTTATGGTAATAATAAAAGCAATAATTTATACCTCATCTACATCTGAAATATTCATTTTACCACAAGGTCAATATAAGAAACATAAAAAGAAAGGAATATACATTTATTGACGGGGTTAGAGGGCAACATGTTTTGTCGGACCCAAGAACCAAACTGTTTGCCTGCATGGGGCTATTAGGCCGAAGGCAAATAGTTTGGTTCAAAGGGTCAACAAAACACATTTTGTCAGAGATCCTACTTAATAAATGTTTTGTTATATTACCTTCTAATTTTTATTTTGACATATTTTGCACTGGCTTCCATGTTTGCGATATTATGTTTTAATTTCGTATCTGTCGAACATCAATGAATGCAAATACATGTAACATTTACAGTGACATAAAAAACATCATAGCAGTCCAATATCTCATCAACAGGTCCAATATCTCACTCAGTGCTCCAACATTGATTTTGTTTGAACTGCTCAGTAAAACATTGGAAATGTTAGACCTTTTTTAAGTATAGATTTATACAGGAAAATTTTTTTAAAGGTATAACAATAAAATATTTTTTGAATTGAAAATTTCCATGAGTCTACAAGACAGAAATGCAGAAGTGAACTCAGAATCTAAATAAAATAAAATGCCTTCACATTAAATCCTTCTGGACCCTTTCAGATAAATAAAATAGGATTATAACATAATATATCCTTTGATAATCTTGGAAGCCATAAGAAATGCCTCAGATACCGGTAATTTTAGATCTATCAATTTTGAAAAGCATGAAAGTTATATGCAGCTTATATAACCATTTATTTACTTTTGGGTTGCCAATATACATGTAGTAAAACATAGCTGCAATGAAAACTCTGAAAAGGGAGTCTGAATTGTTTGTTATAATTAATTATCACAATATGCATTTGTATAATTTTTGTAATATTAATTTGACCTGCTAGAAAGGCTTTCAATAATTTTGAAGTAAATAGGCGAATTTATCAATTTGAAGAAGAATTATTACAAATAGTTCATTTTGCCAGTTATGAAATTTGAAGCGTAGAATTCTAATCATCATTGAAACTCCAGCCACCCTTTATTGAAAGCCCAGTGCCAGAGAAATGCCAATTTATATTAATTACCATATTATGTATGATCAGGTATTCATTGTAACTGTGTTTCTTATGAGATTGTTGGAACTACATCTAATAATTAAAAATACTGTGCACCAACATCTATTTGCATTTTTTTATCTATGGAAGATAAATTAAGAAACTGAGTTCAATTGAATGGTATTTATAAATTTCATGAATTAATATTTAACAAAATTTAATACCATAGTTATAAAATGTGGCATGTATCAACAAATAAGAGTTGGTATACAGTTTTGTTTATATATATACCTACCAATTCTCAACAATCTGACGTCTTTATTCAACTACAAAGACAGAGTGTTGTGTATAAAAATTTTATCCATAAATGCTTTCTGCCATTGAAACCAAGTCCATGTTTCAACAAATAACAATAAGAGACCCATGGGCCACAAGGCTCACCTGAGTCACCTTGGCCCTGGTGATCTGAAGATTTTGAGAGATAATTTCCCTCTTTATTCCAATGAAAAATTTTTAAAGCCATATTTTGGCACCACTTTTAGCTCCAAGGGTTAATATTATTAAACTGAACTTGAATCTACAAAACACTGGGATGACTTGGAACAAACTTGAATCTGAACTCACCTAAGGATGCTTGAATATTAATATCACTTATGGCTCAGTTGTACATTCCTAGCTCAGACACCTTTGCAATGGACTAACATCAAGATTTTTGACAGGGAGTAAAAAGAATATTCCAAGGATCAATTCAAATTCAAATTATAATTCTAGATAAACTAAGTAAATATGTGCCTTAAAAGACAAAAATTTATGCAAATATTGAAATACAGTGTATAATGGATTAAAAAAATATTGAAATATAATGAATTAAAAACAGATGCACTATACTGTGCTAATCGTAATCATGATATAAGCAAGCCAAGAGTTGAATTAATGAGCCAATGGTAGAGAGTGTTCATTGCCCTGCTATTCTTGAGAAGAAGGTTTTTTTTTAAACAGTTCTTCCTACATATTCCCATTTAAAAGTTTGATCCCCTAATGTAGTTCCACCCTAAACTTGGGGGCCATGATATGAGCAAACTTGGAATCTACACTATGTACGAAAGCTTTCACTTAAGTTTTATTTTTTTCTGGCCCTGCTGTTCTTGAGAAGAAATTTTATAAATGTTTTCCCTATATATTCCAACATAAATCTTTGATCCCCTTATTTTACTCTACCCTACCCCTCGGGGCCATGATTTGAACAAACTTGTATCTGCACTATCTGAAGATGATTGCATATTAATATAATGCATAATCATAGCCATGCTGTCCTTGAGAAGATTTTAAAAAACATTTTTTCCCAAACACTATTAAACCATGATTTGTATAAAGTTGAATCTAAACTATGTCAGGTTTAGCTTCCACATGTTTCATCTTTTCTGGTCCAGTGGTTCTAGAAAAGATTTTTAAATGACACCACCAAATTTTCACTATTTCTTAAATAAGGCCAGCATTTTTTTTTTTTATTTTTAGGTATACCAACACCAGAATGAAAAAGTTCTGTAGGAGGAGGAAATTTAAAAAAAAATTATTTTTTTGGATAAATTATTGACTTTTGTACATTCATTTTTGCTTCTTTTTTGATGCTCTTTTAAAGGACTCCTTGCCACTGGCAACACAATGCTTACAATAGGAAGGTAGAACCTTTAATTGTTTATTTCATTGTCTGCCAGTTGGGAACAGTGATATAAATTTTGAGATGTTGGTCAAAATACAAATTAAAAAAAAAAATTAACTCTTTCAATATATCTTCATTTTTTCTAAATATGTGTGAAATGATTTTGTAGAAATTGTTCTTAAAATATACTTGAGACCTAAGTAAAAATTCATATCATATAACAGACAGGGAGTATTGGGGAGGGGGGTTAAATTTTTTCAATTAAGTGTAAAATAATTTTTCTGGCTGCCACACTGAAAAACAATACTACATGCCTGTATATATTTGCATATACTTGTTTTCTTTAATAGTTGAAATATTTCATTTCTAGGGCTGGGACGATTCAGGGTTCAATCGATTCGGTTCGGTTTCGGTTCAGAATGATACGGTTCAGTTTTTTTCGATTCCGTTCAATTTAACCTTAAACAGTCCAAATATTTCTCATCATTAATGAAAAATAATAATCTCTGCTTTATAAACTGATTAAAACTCCTTTACTTCAGTCCTCACAAAAATTTTTCTGAGACACTAACAAGCGGGGCTAGTGGATTTGATATTTTTACTGGCAAAAGTAAAATTTCTACTAACCCAGAAACATAATAAAATTTGAAACTTTTGTTGTATTATTTTATTCCATTTACATTTCATAATGAATTACTCTTTTTTTCATTTTTTTTGGTCGCCGGCGTGGCGCATTGGTCAGAGCGTCTGCTCTAGAGTCGCGAAGTAAGGAGTTGATCCTTAGGTTGCTGGTTCGAATTCCACTGTGGGACGTGAAGACCGGTCCTTTGGATGAGACCGTATAAACCGAGGTCCCGTGTCGCAGTAGGTGCTGGCACGAAAAAGATCCCTCACTGCTCAAAGGCCGTAAGTGCCGAGTATAGGACAAAATTTGCAGCTCTCCACCGGCAAGTGGTGGCGTCTCCATATGAGTGAAAAATTCTCCAGAGGGAATTAAACAACATACAATCAATCAATCAATCTTTTCATTTTTCTTCTGCTTATTTTCTCTATTTACATTTTTCTTTTGAGTCATTAATAAATAAATAATCAGAGAAATTATTTAATGCTGAACTTAATAGAATGAACAATCATGTTTTGGATACCTTCTAACATAGTAGTATACATTTTTTTCTGATCATTGCACTTCTCTTCCAAAATGAAGTGAAAGCTAGTGATTTAATTTTTTTAATTCATATTATCAAATACAATGTTAAAATATTTTTATAACCCTTGTAAATATTTACTCTTCAGTTAACCAGTTGAGTAGTTGGAAATAATTTAATCAATAAATGTGATACCTTTATGTATTTTCCATAAAATCGGGATGGAGGAAATTCAGATTAGTAAAAAAAGACGATCTTTTTCATGGTCTTTAGAAATAAATAATGTAGAAGTGCTAAAAGAATTAGATAGATGAGGTTTATGAACAAGAGAACCACACTTCTTTGATTTTTTTTTTCACTGATTTGGGATTTAAAAGCAAAACTTGGAAAATACCTGCTACTTTTTCACTAGCCCGTTGGGCTATTTACTAGCCCATACCAATGTAAACTAGCCCCTATTGAAAAAGGAAAAGACGTTTGTGGAATTAAAAAAAACTAAATCACTGATTTCAAACTGGCACAATCATTATAAAAAGTATTAAAATCATGAAAACAAACAGTTTCAAACACTTCTGATCTCCAATTGGCGGCCATTTTTGTTTATACGTGTTATGTAAATTTTGAACCAACCGAATTCCGGAATTCTGGATCGGTGCACCGAATCGAACAGAATGAACCGCGGTGCACCGAAATTTTCAGTGCACAGCACAGCCCTATTCATTTCTTTAGGCTATATCTTATTTCACCCTCAATGGACTTAACTTCTCCCATAGTTTTATTCATTACATCTTATGCATAAGTGATCCTTTTATGAAGAATGTTGCTTGGACTGTAAGCTATAGCAGAGACCTGAACAATGTCTCTGGTTATAGCTACCAGGGGCAGTTTTTAACTTGTGGAAGGAAATTAATTTACATGCAGATACTTTTGAATACCAATATATAATTATCTCACCAACATGTCATTGTGCAACAAAGTCGTCATTATTTTATTTGTCCTCTGAACAGGTGAAACGTTTTGAATGGCACTCCTATTGATAAATTTTACCCTAAACCAAGCTGTGATGCTGCTATAGACTCTGCAGATCTACTCAATTTACCCGCCATGTTTATCTTAAACCGGAAGTACGAGTTAGTAAATTTGAAATCTCTATCCTGACTCAAATTTGACATCGCAAAGAAAAAAATCCCATTTTTCTCAATTTTATTTTTTTTTCTGAAAACTCAAAAACTTGAGCAGCAGGTTTGTAAACCTAAAAATAAAAAAATGCTGGCCTAACTCCCCTTGAAAGAGGGTGTGGCCCTTCATTTGAACATATTTGACTTCCCTTCACCCAAGGATGATTTGTGCCAAGTTTGGTTGAAATTGGCCCATTGGTTCTGGAGAAGAAGTTGAAAATATGAAAAGTTTACAACAATAACAGACAACAGACAAATTTTGATCTCAGGTAAGCTAGAAAAGGATCATCGAAGGTGAGTTACATGGAAAATATCCTTGGCATACAAATTAAAGCAATCTAATATGGAGTTATCTCTCAACAATGAACTTGATGGTATCTGTAAATGAATATCGATTATCAACATTTTCAAACCCAAAACAACAAGATGTGTCAATAAACTGCAGAAAGAAATTAGTAGCTGGTGTGTCCACTGGCTTCCATTTCAGTCTTCCTTGATATGGGATGGATAATGTTCACAACCAAAATGAATACACCAATAGTTAGGAATGTAACAGTTCTGTACTCAATCCAGTAGGGCTGTCACGAGTACCCGAAATAACAGAGAACCGCGGTCCAAGTTGTTCGGTTCGGTTCCGGTTCCATTTTTTCGGATTTTGGTTTGGGTCTGGTTTATATATTAGAGTCTGTTCAATACAAAAAATGGAGTCGAAATCAAAGTAATGATGACGATAACAGTGCTAAATAAACATCACAACTGAAATCTACTTCATTCCATGACAAAACACTTGTCACAGAAGTATTAGATAATTATCAAAATGAGCAGGAATGGTCAGGTTGTGGCTAATAGTAGGCCAAGTCACCGATGTCTAGACGTTCGCATGGTTCAGACTTGTTTCCAATGTAAATTTAATGTAACAAATAAAGATTTTTCAAGTTAAATTCATGAAATTAAGGGTTAAAATAGATGTAAATACCCGACCCGAAAAACCCGAAACCGAACCGAAAATTTACGGAACCGACCCGACCCGAAAAATTTTGGAACCGTGACAGCCCTACAATCCAGTAAGGGTGTTAAGGTATGTCACTCGTGAAATTTGTTATATCAAGGATTTTTTGAGAAGTATATTTTGGATAAGTACTCATATAGTATGACTCAAAATCGCAGAAAAAATGGGGGGTCAGTGTGCATCTAACTGAGCTACAGTACAATTAAGTTGACCTTTTTGCACTTAAATTGTAACTCTTTGGTTAATCACTTTAACCGTTATCATATTTTATAAGATGTAACCATGGCAATAAACATAATCTTATTTTACGTAAAATAGTTTGAATAATATTTAT